GAAAACAGACATTTCTAATGAAAAGTAACTACCCGATCTCAAGCGCTTTTCGACAGCCTGGAGCATGTGTGAAAACAAGAGGAGTTGGCTAAAAAGAGAGTGGAAAAAGACGGAGAGGACCAACAAGCTTTTAGCGCTTGCTAAAAACCTTAAAATGAAGAGAAAATAAAGTATTCTACCTCACGAAACTGTATATTGTGTATATACTGTAAATAGACGTTATATAACAAAATACATTCATAACCCATATAGAGTAAAGAGTGTGGGACTTCACTATCACTGGATGAGGTAAGAATCAACAGCGTTTTATCACATTTACACAACACTTTATGAATACAAGTCATGAACAAATCTTAAATATGGCAGGGAATGTGTTTCCAGGGAATGTGTTTCCTTTTTTAGTTTTGATTTTGAGCAGCAAATTTGAAGTTACATATTGGTGCTCACCAGGAATGCATAAGCAAAATTGCACAAATTTTCACTTGAAAGAATAGTGGCAATCTTGGGATTTTTTTCTGTTCAAGTTTCAAATAGTGTGTAAATTGAATTCACTTCATCTTGCATGTTTAGTGCCACTTTTGTAAATGCCCCCGCCCCCGTCCAGGCCACGCCCCGTCCCGGCCACGCCCCCTTCCGCCTTTTTCATCACTCGCCACTCTCATCCCTGACTTTGTCGTCTTCTGTCCTCAGATGGAAAAAGATGAACGCAGTGATGAAGACAGTGACCTGGAAGAAGATAAACGGGAAGAGGCTGAAGAAGATTATTGTCTTACGGAACGTAAAGGCACCCAAAGCTACAAACTAGCCCCCTTGAGTAAAAATTGTGTCCTTAATAATCTCACCAACCACAGGGCCTCAATTTCTGGTAGATTGTGTAAAGCTCAGTAGAGATTTGAAATTATTTGGTGTATTTTTTTTTTTTTAGTATGGCCAAGGCTACCTTTGAAACAGTGTCAATCAATCCAGAAATAGTAAAGCATTTGGTGTTATATCTTGAACGATATATCATACTTTAAGTCACACATTAGATCACAGTGATATTCTCCAACCGTCTCATATGAGTGGTGTTGATTCAAAGCTGGAAATGAACATGTATGAACATGTCCACGCTGGTAATTGTAAACCACAAAGCATGTGTGAGAAAGAGGCGGGAGACAGACTTATTGAATGCCACTTGTCCTATACACCTGAAGGATGAGCTATCTCTTTTATGCAGATTTGCGAAATGCTGTAGATGTGCGTGGAACATATTCGCAGTTTTCAGTGCATCACATGTATGTGGAAAGGTAACCAACATTAAGTACATCTGCTGAATCTAATGAGGTTCAGGAAAAGGGATGTGTCAAAAATGCTACCTTTATAATCAAAACACATGTGAAGGTTTCAAAACATTTTGAGACCAATGCTGCTGATGGATAGAAACATAGACTTTAAAGGTGAGCTGCCAGATGAGTTTGGGTTTGGTGAATCCGTCTCAGGGGTTCGACGGAGCCTCTGCCATGGAGGTAAAGACACACCTGACTCAACATGTCAATTGGTTATGACACGCCCGCTCGGCCATCACTGGCTTCAGATGATCACATTACATTGCTTGTCCAGTCAGTGCTGCGGGAAATTTAGTTCGCTCAGTCGTCACCGTGTGACTGTCGTGATTGTACGTCATACAATTAAAAAAAAACTAAGGCCATGTAATTTTCTTGACTTTTTTCTGTTTTTAATAAATGTGTTTTTTTTAATGTACTGAATTTGTTAAAAAAAAGAAAAATCACATTTTTATTTTTCACTCATGAAGGGTTCGGTGAACGTGCATATGAAACGGTTGGGTTCGGTACCTCTAACAAGGTTAAGAACCACTAATCTAAACACTTTGTTTGCCATGTGCCGTGACATTTTTTTAATGTAAAATATGTGCATTGGCGCAATAAAGGTTGGGAAATCCTGGAGTACAATTGGGAGCGAAAGTGAGTTGTTTTCAATTTTTAGCAGTAGACTGTGCTACAATTCTATCCACTCCAGTCTATGAGATAATGACAGCTCTAGAGTCGAGCAAAGCCAAAAACGGCAGGAAATGTAGGGAATATTTTATGTTTGTGTCCTTGAGGAGTTTTTCCCATCTAAATGAATGAGGCTACTTTGTTAGGCTAGGAGACGGATTGACGTACGGCGTGTTACGCCGGTGTTCTAGGAGCGGAACTGTGAATGCCTTTGAGCAGCTGCGTATACGTAAACAATACAATACACTCTAATGCATCTTTATTCATAGTGCGCTTTCGAAGCAGCAGCGGCTGTAACAAAGCGGTTTAAGAGACGTTTAACATAAAAAAAAATACCGTGGATAAGATGGACAATAATGTCATCGTAACAACTATTCCTAGATACGCCTTGCTTGAAGCGGTCATGGGTGAAAGACTGAAAGTGGAGCGAATGAGTCTCCTTTCACCAGTGGTTCGGAGACGTCATGATCATTGCATACATGACGTCACATACGTCTGCTACAGGTCAAGTTTGAAAGTAAACAAGATTAGCTCCGTTTCCGCTATTTTAACTACGTCCGTTCCTCGGTTTTGGCTGTGTTTTCTTTAATTAAAGTGGCAACGGCCTTTGTGGACAACTGTCTCTGTGGCGCAATCGGTTAGCGCGTTCGGCTGTTAACCGAAAGGTTGGTGGTTCGAGCCCACCCAGGGACGTGTTCCTTTTTCGTTTAATGAATTTTTCATATCACGTCTTTTCAGTAGTGACGTCAGAACTATTTGTCATGTTAAGGTTTCTTTCAATCCATCAATGCGGAGGCCTTGACATGAAATGGTTGTTGATTTATTTAGCTGTGTGAGACACATTTTGAAGCAGCTTTTTACATCTTTGCGGATTGACATCACAGCTGTCCACTCCGCTTTTTAACACGTGAATAGCTGCATGAGGAAATGTGTTTTTATCACAAGGAGCGATCTGTCAGTGTTATCTCTGTTCTGATTTGACAGTAATGACGACATGTCTCTTTGAAACTAGAATGGAATGAAGTCGGAGAACTACCCATACATTTTCTAATGTGCTTAACCTCACAAGGGTCGTGGGGTGCTGGAGCCAATCCCCGCTGTCTTCGGGCAGTAGGCGGAGTACACCCTCAACTGGTTGCCAGCCAATCGCAGGGCACATTTAAAAGAACAACCATTCGCACTCTACGTAGGGACAATTTAGAGCAGGGATGTCCAATGTAGGGCCGCTGTCCTGCCTGTTTTCTATCTGCAACACACCTGATTCAAATGATCAGACAGCTCTCAAGCAGCATTCGAAACAATCTGATTATTTGTATGGAGCAAAGTCGGACGGGACAACCAATCTGTTCGCTAGCCCAAACATCATATGACCAATCAGCGCAACGAGAATTGTTGGGCTCTTGAAGTCTAGGGTCAGTCAAATGCATTACAGGCAAGGCTCGGGCACGTTTAACGAGGGAGGGGGATCAAAACATTGAAGAAGGCAAGTCATTTGCGTATCCAACCGGAATTGTCAAACGCGGATGGACATTTTAAGGCTCGAGTCGAAAGGAATATTTGAAAATTATCAGTAGGCCTACCAAACTTCCGGGACCTATCAGCACAGCGCCTACAGTAATATTTGGAACGTTTGACCAATCACGAATCACAAACGCTGTAAACGCGTATCCTCAAACGGGACGTTTAACGGTTGACATTGCCACCGTAAATCAATCTATAAAACTGTACACTGACTTTCTAAATTAATACTACGCAAAAATAATCTGTCACGAGATTTCATTTTCTTGTCAAATTTATATGTGAAACTTTTAAGACATTAGTGGCCAGAGGCTGCAATTCCAGTTGCTTTCAGCAGGTGGCGTTCTCTTGATTGTGCAGACTGAAAAGTACAGGGAGCAGCGAAAGGCTGTCAAGTTGTGCAGATCACCCAGCAGTGAGGCTCAGGACGGAGCTTGGACAGAAGAGAAAGAGATGAGGATACTTCTTTTGGCCAAAATGCTCACCTTTTCCGGGCTTTGACACTGCAGAGGTATCATCGTGCGGTGCTGCAGCAGCACCCTGCTGAATTCTGCTGGAAGAAGAGCAGGAAGAAAGCATCTTTACTCTTGGGTGGAAAGCAGAGACTGAAAGACACACTCGTCAGTTACTACAACGACATGGGGTGAGTTTTGCATAATTTGGTGTTAAATAAAAACCAAGAAAACTAAACTTATTTTCCTGCCTAATCTCACTCTAGAAAAGAAGCGTCAAACACTTTGTAAGATGTTTCCTCATCACAGAGAAAGGTAAGATCCTTTTCACCCCCTATGTAGAATTTGCTACTTGCCCTTAATTAAAATTGATATTCTTGTTTAATTTGGAATGTGAAGATCAGGAAGTATAGATGAGAATAAAAGCACTTCAAGATGCTTCTTTCAGACCAGGCACGATTTGACTTCTGTAAATGTCGTAGGCGGCCCGGTGGTTAGCATGTCGACTTAACAGTGCAGAGGTGCAGGGTTCGATTCCGGCTCTGGCCTCCCTGTGTCGAGTTTGCATGTTCTTCCCGTGCCTGTGTGGATTTTCTCTGGGTACTCCGGTTTCCTCCTACGTTCCAAAAACATGCATGGAACACTCTGAAGTTAAACCTAGGTGTGGGTGTGAGCGCGGATGGTTGTTTGTTTCTGGCAACCGGTTCAGGGTGTCCCCTGCCCACTGCCCGAAGCCAGCTGGGATAGGCTCCATCACCCCCCGCGACCCTCGTGAGGACAAAGCGGATCGGAAAATGAATGAATGTCAGCGTCATCTTGTGTGCGACAACACCAGGAGTGTTTTCATGAATTGATCTATAATTCATCCTCGATAACTCACTATCTTTCCACACCCAGATCAATAAAATAATACACATATTTCCACCTGCGTAATATCAATCTTCCCCGTTCCTCCCTCACGTCTCGCACCACCGCGATCCTTGTCCACAGTCTCGTCACCTCCCGTATTGATTATTGCAATTCACTTCTATTCGGTGTCCATTACAAATTCCTCCATAAGCTTCAACAGGTCCAGAATTCTTCAGTCCGGATCATCACTCGAACCCCCTCCTTTCATCACATCACCCCCATCCTCCGACAGCTCCACTGGCTCCCTGTCAAACTTAGAATCAACTACAAAATACTTCTCTATACATTTAAAGCCATCCATATACTTGCCCCCCCCCACCCCTATCTGTCTGATCTTCTTCAAATTTCCGTTCCCTCTCGTTCCGTTAGGTCCTCATCCTCTCTCCACCTCTTTTTGAGTGTTTTGAAAAGGCACTTATAAATAAAATGAATATATATATATTTTTTATTGTTCTAAGATGCATGCATGTGATAATCATGCAAATATATGGACATTTGTTAGTCAATCAGTCAGTGTTTGTAAAACTGCCGCTCTGAAAGATTAAGAATGTTGCGGAGAGAGCCAGTCCAGTGCTCGAGCATAAACGACCTCACTAATTTCTGAGGTTGTAGCCTGGACCGGTTCATCAGAACACTTCAATGTGTTTACACACAATCTGCACCTCTAAAAGATATACAGTGGTAAATAAAACCATCATTCGTATCACACAGGAGTGGGTAAAGTATGGCTGGGCAGCTACATACGGCTTGCTCTGTTTTTTTATTAAGATCAGCTGACCTTTTACATAATCAACAGTTCTGTAACATTTGTTGCATCCATTTTGTTGTTCACCCCGCCACCCCCTTATGTTAATTTTATTGTTAAAATAACAATGCAACATTCACCCTTTCATGCATCCTGTAACCTGATAACATGATAAGCTGTCCACTGTAGTAACCGCTCTCCCTGAAAGAGTTAAAACTAGCACTTTTTTTTTAATGTTTCGTTAAGCGGAATTGTTTGGTTCCGACAAATTCAACAACTTTTCCAGATTAACATGAAGTGGATGATGCAAATCTACACGCACAAGTCATTGGTATTTTTTATTGAGTTGGCACCAAGTTAAAAATGACATGGGCAATTATGCTGTTAGGCTAATGATTTATTTATTTAATTATTTAACTGGCTAGTTAATCATGATTACATTATAATACTGAAAATAAGAATGAGGAAAAAAATAATTTTGCATGTCCTGTATTTCTTGAGCATTGTTTTCAATTGGGTAGCCCAGTGGTCCGGTAGTTTACGTGTCGGCTTCACAGTGCAGAGGTCGTGGGTTCGATTGCAGCTCCGGCCTTCCTGTGTGGAGTGTGCATGTTCTCCTCGTGCCTGCATGGGTTTTCTTCGAGTACTCCGGTTTCCAAAAACATGCAGGGCAGGTTAATGGAACACTCGAAATTGTCCCTCGGTGTGAGTATGAGTTGTTCGTCTCTGTGTGCCCTGCGATTGGCTGGCAACCGGTTGGGTGTACCCCGCCTAATGACCGAAAACAGCTGGGTTAGGCTCCAGCATGCCTCGCGACCCTTCTGAGGATAAGCGGATCCGAAAATGGATGGATGGATGTTTTCAGTTGTCATTAAAAGCAGTTGATTTTTTGGGGGGAAAAAATACAAAAACATTAGCAGAGCATAAGTTGAAATGTTACCTAAATGTTTAAAAAAAATGAAAACTAAAAAGTTAAATACAATCTAGGCAGTGATTCTTTCTCATACCGCGATCTCATTCAAAATGGTCCTCATACCACACTTTGAAAGTCACTCTTCGAGAATATTTTATTTTAGGACATACAATACTCCACTGATAAGATCGGTTTAATTTCTATATTTGCCGTGCCTCTATGAAAGGATCATTAAATTTCATCTGTGCAAAGTCAACCTCCCACCTTCAAAAAAGACAATCGCTATGCATCTGCAGTTGTCTGTCTTGACCTCGGATCAGACCACGTCGATATTGGGGGTGGTGGGGGCAAAAAGCATCTCCAGTAACTCCGGGGAGGATTATTCGTGTGGGATGAGAAGGAGAATTATAACATGGCTCATCAAACTGGGTGGAGTCAGCTGTTGAAAAGCCACCAATCACATTAGCGTCCTTTATGTGATCGATCCTGGAAGGAGGAAAAGAGAGTCAATGGGGCTTCTTTCTTAAGATTGTGAGGTCCCACAAAAGGACCTACGCGACTCGATTTGTGCGTCAATAGTGGGGTTAGATATAAATGTTAAAACTATTCTGACCGCCCAACCCCCACAAAAAAATCACACTTCTACTGGGACTACAGTACTGCACCTTCAAAGCAACAGGTAATGATGATGTTAACGATGAGCAACAGTGGGGGGATTACACCCACACGGCATCTTCAAGTGCCACAAGCCACTCCGCTTTTAGTCAGTTCAAAATATCTTTCATCGCATCCTTCCATTGGAAGTGAGTGTGGAAGTAAAACAATGCCAACTAATCTGCATGGATGGGTGTTACAGGATGCATTCCTTTCGTTTCTCATTTATTTACATCCCTTTTTTCCCCTTGGGTTCACTGCAAAATGTTTACCGTGTATATAAAAAGACTACACACCCCTTTCAAATGCCAGATTTTTGGGGTGGGGCAGTGGGGAGGGAACCATGAATGTGACTTATAACCAGTACAGCTGGGGAAAAAAGGATGCAAAACAACTGTGATCATGTCGCTGCACAAGTGTGCATGCCCTCTTACAGCTGATGTTTAAGTGCCTCTGCTTAACCCCAAATAAAAGTCCGCTTTACCAGTCGGCATTTCCCGACATTTTTGTCAAAGTCATTTAAACTGCAACTCTTTTTGAGTACATCACATTGAGCGATTTCCATTGATGCTGGTTCAATGTGGAAATACGCAGTGACTGATGCATTCAAATGCAATTGACTCTATTGTCTTACTAGCTACTCATACTTAAAACCTGAAGACAGTCACTTGTTCGTCAAGGTCAAGTTTTCTCATTATTTGTCTCCCTTAGAGAAATTTGTCTTGGTGTAAGGGACAGCTGCATGCATGAATTGAATACAAGCAGTCATTTGTAAACCGCACAAGCAAATGATGTTAGTTCAAGTGTCTGTTCAACAGTGAATCAAATCAGACACAATTATGCCCACATCCAAGACAGCTGAAAATGTTTGACTAGAAATATTGATAACCATAGCTAAAATGTTTTTTTTTAATTTGTCATCTTTGTTTCAAATCTTCAATTTGTCATTTCGTTGCACGAACGTGAATGACAATAAACAGGAATTCAATTCAATTCAATTCACCACAAAACCAGGCCAACGTGGCCATCAGAAACAACCATAATAATTTTTGTTCCCTTCCCTCCAGAGAGCAGCCAATCTTCAGCACGCGGGCTCATGTCTTCCAGATCGACCCAGCCACAAAGCGGAACTGGATCCCTGCAAGCAAGCATGCGGTCAGCGTGTCTTTCTTCTTCGACTCCAATCGCAACGTGTACCGCATCATCAGTGTAGGCGGCACCAAGGTGAGGACGACATATGTGTCCAATTTAGAATTACCTCGATTTCTGCATAAATCCTAATTTGTTCTGGAAGGAACACACAATGCTGCGTTCAGTGAAAATAGTCTCCCAACAAAGCCCCGTCACCAAAACTTTAACCCAACTGGAAAATTGCGCGGCGTAGGATTGATTTGCTCATTCAGGGCTTGGAAATATTTCAATCATTGACAAAAAATAAATAAATAAATAAATAAATAAAAAAATTCCGAAGTTGATGAAAACATTTGCAGGACCATCTGCCTACTACTCAATGAAAAGAATTTGCCTTCTGAACTGGCCCAGCCAGTGATGGGTGCCACAACACTGATGCGCCGACACACGCGCCGAGCTCACAGAGCAATCTCCGCGCCGGTGCGCTTACTGCTTCAAGGCAGTCACGTGACTGATAGAGAAATGTATGAGCAAAATGGTATCATATTTCAAGTTTCATTTAATTTGGGCATGTCGAGACGTTTGGGTGCGTATTCAGCGCCCCCAAATGCCTGTGCGCAAAGTTGTCGACCGTTTGGGAGGAGGGCTTTTTGAAGTCCACAGTAATCACGTCAAAGCAAGGGGGCGAACAGATGGAAGAAGGCTAGACTCGATCACAAAGCGGGAATAAACAATTTGGGAACATAGTGTTGTAGAACATCAAAAGACGGTTTAGGAACGGCTGTCGCGCCCAGGTGGACATTTGTCATCTGCGAAGTCTGCAACTTTTTTATTCGTTGTAGACCAGACTGAAAGGTGTCAACGTATCTGTGGTTCAAAGCTTAAACCAAGGTAATCAGATCACTACTGAGGGGCCGGACTGGGGGCGTCGGATGTAAATATCGGGGGCAGTGTTTTTCTTGTATTTTGCGTATGTAAACAATAATAGTCTGACAGGAGCACAAGGATCTCAACCTGTGATCACGGAGCAACTACCGTCATTCACTCTTCGAGATCCGCTTCCGCCGATAAGAAAGACAATCATCCCTGTGTGTCGAGTCATTTGTTTAACTTTGTCCGGGTAAAAAACTCTGAGAGTGACCAATGTATGAACTACGTAGACTCGGCAAAAATGCACCAAACTGTGTTCATAAGGAAATGTGTCTGTTAACGCGATGTACCTGCTGAAACGATCCAACGATCAAACGATCTTTATGGGTTATGGAGCACCTCCAGGGGAAATGAAAGTTGTCTGCTGTGTGGGACCATTTTGATCTGCTTTCGGAGCACAAGGTATTTATTTCATTCTCCTGTTTCACCTAGTTCCTCTCAGATTTTCAACTTGTTCCATTCTAATTCAAATTCATTTCAAGGTAACTCTTTAGTTTACTATTCACATTCTCCACATTCACATTTTTTTTCTTGCAGGTGAAATGTCGCATTTGTTTCTCAGAGCTGTCCTCTCCTAACAAATGCGCCTCCTCAATATTGAGGCATTATCGGGCCAAGCATGAGAATGAAGTTTCCGAAAGACTCAATATAAGGTCAGGTAAACAGCCATTCGCTTACTTTCTCATGGTTGCTTTGTTGATAATTAATTGGCAATCAGTAATTATTATTAATTTATTCTCCACTTCATGTTCAACAATCAAGTTTCCAGGAAGGAGTGGCTTAATCAGGCACCGCTGAACTTCATTCTCAAGCACTGCCAGCCCCTTGGCATTGTGGAAGAGTGAAGGTTTCATGGAACCCTCATACGTTTTGCCAACAAGAAAGGTTCGTGTGGAAGTTACATCAAGTGGCAGTTGACATCAGCCATTTATTTCATCTGAAATGTAAATGTATTGATTTGCTTTTGGTAAAACCTTTTCTTGCACCCTGTAACCTGATAACATAATAAGCAGTCCCCTGTAGTAACCGCTGTCCCTGAAAGGGTCAATTTACAGACAATCAAACAATTTTTTTTTTTTTTTTTAAGATGACTCATGGCAGCACTTGGATGACAGTGGGGAGACTTGGGAGAAGTGCAACTGCAGATGCAATGGCTGAAATGCAGCGATATTTAGCAGAGGGGAATATTGGACGGACTCAAGATCCTCTTGATATATTGGAAGAGCCAGCAGACAGCCTATCCCAACCTCTTCCTGCTCGCCAAAGAGTTCTTGTGTACGCCGGCATCATCAGTGTCATGTGAGAGAGTGTTCTCCACGGCAGAAGAATTCCGTTGCAAGAAATGCAACAGAATCAATTTCAAAACATTGGAGAAACTTTTTTTTTGAAATAAAAAAATTGGAAAACCAAAAAGTTCACAAGCATCCTCATTCATATCATTTTCATTTAGATTTTCCGATTATGAGACATGTCAACATTATTTATAGACATGAAACAATACAATATAAGGCGCAAAGACTTGAATTTTATATATATATATATATATATATATATATATATATATATATTTGTAAAACGAGAAACACAACACATAAAAATGCAAATGAGAATGCATGCGCAGAGTAGCTCGTAAAAATGAATTACCCCCTTTCAGTGATACACCTCTGCCAAGAATACACGGTTGACCTCGCACTTTGAAGGAATCTCTCGTCAGTTATTAAATGTTCCCAAGCTATGGCACCGAATGGCACAACAAAAGTCAAACTTTCAGGTCATTTTTGCACATATGTGAGGACAAATGCATGGGACAAAATGTCTGTGAAGATGAGGGAAAAAAATATTGATGATGACGTAAGAACAGGAAATGGAACTTATCTCAACAGTGTCCTGGCTGCTCAGTACAACATAAACAATACACCATTTCGTAGAGGGCTCGTATATATATATATATATATATATATATGTATGTATGTGTATATATGTGTATATTGTATATGTAGTTTATATTCTGTGGCTGCTCCCTGGATTTAGGTTACGAGCGACACATCAAGTACTGTACTGAGGAGGGGGTTGGGGGTGCTTTAGCTGATCTCGTAGCACCTCGAGTCTGACCCACATTCCCGCTTCCCAGAAAGCCGCGTATGATGGCAGTTGTGCGCTGAACGGCCCAGTATTGCCTCCGAGTGTATAATCTTCACAGTTGCCTGCATCCAGCTTGTTATGTCAACCACGTCACTACAGCCAACATGTTATGTCAGCCGTGGCAAGGCAGAAGACAGACAACACAGTCAGTCCATGTAATCGTTTTTTGGCAGGGAAATAAGGACACACTTCTTTTAAAGACCCCGCCCTAGCCCTGGGCTGCGATTCCAGGATTTGAAGTCAGTGCCATGATTGTCACTCACTGAGTTGACGTCACAGGCTTTTAAAATAGTTTGAAGCTTATGTCCTTTTCTTTTCATCATGTGGTCAATGGCGGACAAATTTACTGGTGAATCTGCTGGATGAGATGCAAAGGTCTCTGGCAATGTGGATTTACAGTGGAAACCAAAATCCTCTTGTGGAAAACCTTCAAAACAAAAATGAATCATTTGAAGGTGAGCTAGAGCAGTGTTCCCCCAACCGGCGGTACCGGTCCGCAGGCATTTGGTACCGGGCCGCACAGAAAGAACTTGCCTTAATTCCGTTTCATTTATTTTGGAAGACGAAGGATGTTTTATTTTGAAAAATTACCGGGTTCTCCGTTACATCCGTCTGTGTCACGCTTGACACACGTTAAGCCACGCTTCTCCGTCACGTGACCGATTACGCTAAAAACAAAATGCCAGAGCTCGCAAAATGAGTGAAAAAAACTGCTGGAGATCGCAAATGACGGCGGCCTTAAAAGTAAGTTCGAGACAACTGGATTAAAGTTAATATTCTGAGATCGCCACAGTAGCACTGTTGCTATTTCCGACATGCTACCTGTGTGAGGTGGGGGTTTTCTGCAGCAACGGCGACTAAAACAAAATTACGAAGTAGACTGGACATAAAACACACACTTGAGGTGTCATTGTCTCCTATTACCTCGAGATGGGACCGTTATTTTGTTGGATTATTTCCGCCACACCTTAAATGCCGGTCCCTGAAAATATTGTCTGACATAAACCGGTCTGTGGGGCAAAAAAGGTTGGGGACCCCTGAGCTAGAGACTGACACCGAGAACTGGCTACAACCTTAATTGGTCATCAGCATATTGAGGAGCTTCATTTCGACTCTAAATGAAGCTCCTCAACTCAGTTGAACATAGGTCCTTGGTGCCAATATCCCACTTTTTATTTTTTTTTTTTGGTTTTGGCACATAACAAGAATTTTCCACCTCAAAAATCTGCAACAGCTGAACTGTGAATATGCGGGAGTGCGTAACAAAAAAAAAAACGTGGTGTTTTTAAATGGCCTTTCAATTCACTTAAATGGGGAACATTGAGTTGTTAAGCGGGCGGCCCGATGGTTAACGGGTTAACGCATCGACCTCACAGTGCAGAGGTTGTGGGTTCCAGTGTGGCATTCACATGTTCTCCCCGTGCTTCTGTGGGTTTTCTTCGGGTACTCCGGTTTCTCCCACATTCCCAAAACATGTGTTGCAGGTTAATGGAAAACTCTAAATTGTGCCTAGGTGCGAGACTGAGCGCGGATGCTTGTTCGTCAATGTGTGTCCTGTGATTGGCTGGTAACCATTTCAGGGTGTCCCCCGCCTACTGCCCGAAGACAGCTGGGATAGGCACCAGCACGACCCGTGACCCTTGTGAGGATAAAGCGGTTCAGTAGATAGATGGAGGGATGAGTTGTTAAGCGAGTAAACTGAGTTCCCAACTTGCTCATGAAAAAAATGAAATTCTGAATTCAACCACTGCATTCTGTAGATCACAATTTGTCAAGTCGAGAGAACTTGGTGAGTGTAAAATTTGGGGTTAAAGGAAAACTGATGAGAATTGGGAAATCGGTTTTGATTTCAAAGATGTGAGGGCATTGAGTCGAACTTAATCATTATACTTTGAAATGTACCAATCTGTCAATTGTTTTTCTTGGTAGGCAATTATCAACTGCATCGTTACACCCAGCATGACATTTACAAAGACATCACAGAAGTTTGGTCAGTGGGCTGACAGCAGGGCCAACACAGTCTACGGTTTGGGCTTTGCTACAGAGCAACAACTGCACCAGGTAACAGCTTTTCAGCAGACATGCGTAGATCAGTTTCATGTGATGTATGCATACATGAAGTCTGGCTGCGCGCGCATCTTGGAGGCAGAAAACACACGCTTGTGAGTCGTAATAGTCTCGTGCCGTGGGTTGTCAGAATGGAAAGAGCACACACAGAGATCTAGTGTTTTATAGAATTCCTGCTGGTAAACACCCCTTGCAGAAAAACCGGTGAAAGTTATGGTTACATGCTTGACAACGTGAGAATTGGACTGAGGAGGCAATTAAGAATGCTCGTCTTTGCAAACAACAGTGACGTCATTCAGATGCGCGCGCATCTTGAAGGCAATGTTTGCAAACATTGAAACTCATCTATGTTGTTTTTTCACAAGTTTTCAGAGAAGTTCAAAGAAGTGAAAGATGCAGCTCGTCTGGCACGGGAAAAGTCCCAAGATAAAGAACTGGCCAACACAGCCCTCAGCATCGCTGCACCGCAGGTGAGCACAGCTAGAAAGCAAAGTCGTCAAAGTGCAACCGTGCGACGTATGCGACATGGAATATATTGTGCGGAATATAAAGTGATCTCGGCAAAGTGCCATTGCGAAGGTCACCATTTTGAATGCAAACAATTTTGGTTGGTTATTATGATTGTATTCTTGCTATTATTTTAGGGTTTCTGTACAGCTGTGGCTGTTGTGAACGCACCATAAAAACAGTTGAGTTCATAAGATGGTGCGGGTCTAACCAAGAAGAGTTGAACGCACCTTTGTCCGGTTACTAGTCGGGACTGCTGCAACAGAGCGGAAGGAGGAAAAAGTGAAGCAAGAGGAAGGAAAGGCAAAAGATGAAAGATGAAGTGGGTCACTTATCTCAGGGGGGAGTGACAGTGAGGAATGTAGGGCGATGCTAAAATGATCCCAGCAGCTTCCTCGTCAGCCCACAAAGCCTCACCTCAGACCTACTAGAGCACAATTGTCAAACTGTGGTCCTCGAGGGCCGTTGCCCTGCTGCAACACACCCGATTCATAATCACGATCGTTGCCGGGCTCCTGAAAAGCTTGCTGATGAGTTGATCATTTGAATCCGGTGTGTAATAGCCGCCAGAGATGGAAAATGTGCTGCGTCGTGACCCTTCAGGATCGCAGTTTGACACCTTTGAACTAAACCAATTAGGGATACCAAACAAATGAATCCCACCGACTCATCATGACCGTATGAGGGTTAATGTGACCAACACTTAGTATTTTTTTGTTTTAAATCATGTCTGCCCATTGAAAGCCTGCAAATTCCATTAACTCCTTTCACCCGCCCCAAATTTGAAAGAAAATAGAACTCAAACCCAATTCCAATAAAGTTGGGATGTTGTGTTGAACATAAATAAAAATGCAATTATTTGCAATTCATGTTCAATTGGATACACTTTCATTTCATTGGATACACTAGAGAGACAAAATATTTTATGTTCAAACTGGTAAACTTTATTGTTTTTGGCAAATAATGATTAACTTAGAATTTTAGGGCGGCAACACGTTCCAAAAAAAGATGGGACGGGGATCATGTTTATCACTGTCTTACGCCACATTTTCTTTGAACAACATTCAGTAAACGTTTGGGAACTGAGGATACTAATTGTTGAAGCTTTTTAGGTGGAACTCTTTCCTATTCTTGCTTGATGTTCAACAATCTGGGGTCTGCATTGTCGTATTTGACTCTTCATTATGCGCCACACATTTTCAGTGTGAGACAGGTCTGGACTGCAGGCCAGTCTAGTACCTGCACTCTTTGACTACAAAGCCACGCTGTTGTACCCATGCAGAATGTACTTTAGCATTGTCTTATGAACGGCATCAAAAACTATATGTAGCCACCAGCATGAATGCTGCCTTCACAGATGTGTTGGTGAGCCATGCCAAGTGTTAGCACTAGCTTCCGTGCTAACATAACAGTTAAGAGTAGTAGAGTTAGATTTGTATGGTTGTGAGGTGTTGAATGATGATAGTTTTTGTGGTGAAATGTTTCATTGTCTTTTTTGTTCTTTTTAAACTTCATGATGGATTTCATCTGCAGTTCTCACAGGTGAGTGGTTTTGATTTTAATTTCGACCGACCAATTTACTGTCTGTCGTTTGAGACAAACGACAAACCAAAGTTGTAACGTATGCATGCACATACACTCATTGGGCCAAATTATTGGGACACCAGGCCACGACAGGAGTAAATGTCAGTTCTAGTTCATTCCAGTAGAAGTTCTTTGCTGTGGCTGAGGTAAGATAAGAAACCTTTATTAGTCTCGCAATGGAGAAATTCCCAATCGACAGCAGCAAAGTTATGAAAGGAAGAAGTAGAAGAACAAAATATAGGAGCTGCTGGAAAGGCAGCCACTCTCGCGGTGCCATCTTGAAGTCAAAATAACAAAATAACACAACACAACACATAAGACGCAGACAGTCGTGCAATCTTAATCACTTTTCCTGCATACACTTTGTTGTTTGAAGCAGTTAAAGATGAAAGAGGAGAGGTCAAAGTGTCCTTTCACTAGTGAATCAGAGACGTCATGCCGAAAATGTGCACACATCTGCTCCAAGCTAAGTTTTGAAAGCAAACATGAAGCTGTAGCGTCCATTGACGAAAAGAGATTGGCTCACATCTCCTGTCCCATGTAAATCCGCTTCAACTCCAAGCTGCGACTCCCAGTAGCCGATCAAGTAGATCAAGTTCTTCCACACGATACTCAGGCAAAGATACGAATTTGAAAGCGTGGAATTGTCCCAAATTATTTGGGATTAAGATTAAGAGTTAACTAAAATGTAATGGCTTGACCTCTTGATTTTAGGGTGACGCTCAGTACTTTTGTCAATCACATGTTTTTGTTTGTCTATTAGTATCTATTTTTTTCCCTTTAATACCTGCTGGTCCCCAAACGAGAAAAAAAAATCTGGGGCACCCCTTAGAGATAAACTAGCAACACATCGAGCATTTTCAGCTTCGCTGTATAGTTTAAAGTAGTGGTCCTCAACCTCCAGGCCGCGGACCGGTACCAGTCCGTGGGTCATTTGGTACCGGGCTGTACAGAAAGAATAAAGAACGTACATTACTTCCGTTTTATTTATTTTGTAATCTGAAAGATGTTTTATCTTGAAAAATGACGGGATTCTCTGTTACATCCGTCTACAGTACGTCACTCTTGACGCGTTTCTCGGTCATGTGATAGGTTACTGCTAAAATGAAACCCAGGAGCTAGCAAAATGAGTAAAAAACAAACGTCTCAAAGTTTCTTTGGGAAGGGGAAAAGGCCCAGCCAGGAGACGACTTTCAAGAAAAAGAAGGCTACATTTAATAGACAGTATCAGGATTTCCTATTTAAAATACGGATTTATCTCAACGGGAGATTCCCACGCACCAAGCCCACTCTGCATAATATGCGGCGATGGTGAGTCCTATTTTTCATGCACTTTGTATTTGCAGTGTATCTGATTTTGAAGGCACGTTTAAATGTTACCATCGCGACCAGAGAGTGTTGCGGCCAGATAGGACGTTCCTCGTGTCATGATTCGTGTTTATTATTATGTTTAGAAAATACCGCAGTTTTCATGCAGGTCATATCATAATATTTTGTTGTATTTATCTGTCACACCTTAAAGGCCGGTCCTTGAAAATATTGACTGACATTAAACCGGTCCGTGGGGCAAAAAAGGTGGGGACCCGCTAGTTTAAAATACTTTTAAAAAAATCGGGGTCAAGAAGCATGGGCTTGTGTGGAGAGTGCATTTACTGATTTGTTCCTCAGGACCTCTCCGATGACCTCCAGTCCCCTCCAGTCATGTGTGTGAACGGGCCTGAGGACAAGTTGTTTCGCAGTCAAAGCGCAGACATCACGCTGTCTTCTGAGAAGGAGCGTATCAAGAAGATGCTCTCGGAGGGGTAACTCAAGTTTTCAGTGCTCAACGAATCTCATTACCATGAAAGGAATCCATTTCGCGAACGTCTGTATCAATGGAAGAGCAGATAATTCTGTTCTGAGCATTTGCTTAAAAAAAAACAAAAAACACACAGTTCAGGAGCAATTAAAAATTAAGAAAAGCACTGTCATCCCAATCGACTGAAGCAGGCGACATCGAAGTTGGGTTTAAAGTTATATCAGCTCAGGTTTACTATTTATAAGCTGAAGATTAAAGGACAGAGAATCCAAGTATGGACAATTGTGTATGGTTATCCTACTTGTTGTCTATTACATTAATGAGATGTGTTTGATAAGGTAGTTTGACCAAATTCCAGCTAGCGAAGAAAAGGAATGTCACTAAAAAAACATTTGCTTAGAGGAAAGTAAATCTAAAAAAATAAAAATTCTGCTGTACTGCAAAACCAAGCTAATATCAGCTGTTAGTTGTAGCGTGTAGCTTGTAAGCCATCAGTGATTACATTTCTTGTACGAGCTGGGTTTGCTCACGGTTCTCATGTCACGTTTGAATTAGTTTGGAGTAGCGAGGTGCTTGCCCCTAAATATCGACATCAAACAATCAATAAGCATCCCCCGAATTTAACCCTTAAGACCACTCACTGTGCATATTCTTCCTCCTCTGCCAGCAAGGTGGTTAAATCACAGGGAGGCAAATCTGATTCCGCCTCATAAGAGTGCATATTCTTCCTCCTCTGCAAGCAAGGTAGTTACAATCACAGGGAGGCAAATCTGATTCCGCCTCATAAGAAATGTGCGTTTTCATAACAGGTCTATCTGCGAGCTGAACCTGGAAGCGGAGCTCTTCACGCTGCAAGACAGCAACTCCAAGTTAGTGGCGGCGTTGCACGAGGCTAATGCTAACGTGGAGCAGTGGAAGAAACAGCTGGTTGCATATCAAGAGGAAACCGAAAGGCTTCGAGAACAGGTAAGCAGAGCAGCAAATTCAGATCTTAAGGTGCTTCTTACGTGGTCCTGGTGAAAGACCACACCATATGGTCCTCAAATACAACCAATCCTGTATCCTCGTGGGTAAGCTTCCATCTCATGATACTGATGTTTTTTTCTTGAGCTACAACAGTTCATTATGCACAAGCAAGGGTATTTGTGGTTTTTGTGTCAAAAGAGGAATCGGTGTTAAGGAAGTACGCTTGAGTGATTCATCATGCCTGAAAGACAAGCTTTGTATGTTGGGGAGGAGCTAAGTTTAGCCTGGGTTGTTAGTGGAAACTTGGGGAGACTTGGCCACATGTACCTGCACACTTGGTGTTTTTCGTCGGGTTTTTTTTTTCTTTGTTTTAATCAAATCCTCTAACCATTTATTTTAAGAGTCATTTAAGATGAATTTGAAATTACAGTGTTTCAGGATCATAGTTTGTGCTCTACAATTTAAACTAATTAAATATAATCCAATACATCTTTATTTATAGCACTTTCATAACTGCTGCAGCTGTAACAAAGTGCTTTACAGAACATTGAACATAAAATAACAAAAATAAGCAAACAGAACACAACATAAAACATACAAGCAACGGTGAGTATTCCTGCTTTTTTGTTCACAATGAAAAATACAAACCTGATTCCTACAGTTCTGTTACTTTAAAACTCTGCTTTGTCACATAACATTTTACCACAAGGTTTAGTGTAAATCCACAAGAGTGCTTGCCAGACCTTTAAAATTCAATCACACTTCATGTTCCATCCCAATTGAGTTCTCCCCCCGCGCTCCACCCCACTCATCAATAACAGCTTGACCAAGTTTTGATCTTTCTATTAAAGCTCAGCTCCACTTTATCGATCCCCTAAATGCTCATTTCCAGCACATGTTCCTCATTTCAGGCCACTTTCCCATTTTAGTCAAGGGAGCCGCCACTAGTTTGAGCTTGTTTTGCTCCATCTCGGGCTGAGAGACTTTGGTGGCTGCCAGTAAAATGGCTCACGTCTCAGTGGTGGCAGTGGTGTGAGAAGAAGAGTTTGTAGGACAGCCTTATCCTACTTTTGTTGGCCCACTTAGGACAAAAAAAGAGAGCTCACTCGAGGGACTTGGTTCTTGCCCGTTTCCTCTCACTTCCTTCTGCAGCTTCTCTCAAGTGCACTTGACTTTTTTAAAGCAACAAAAGCAGAGCCAGGTGGATTTTAGCAACCTGTTAACTGATATTCTCAGCAGTCTACTGCATAATGATACATTGTTTGTCAGATTTAGAAACTTCATATCTGCGCCGCAATTGACGGCCTTCTAAATCTGTAAACGTGTAAATGTAAAATGTAAGAAAATTTGTTTGCATGCATAGCCTAACAAACATTTTCTTTGCATACGTTTGTGTATTGTGTGTGTGTGTGTGTGTGTGTGTGTGTGTGTGTGTGTGTGTGTGTGTGTGTGTGTGTGTGTGTGTGTGTGTGCGTGTGCGTGTGTTGAGATTGCTGACCTGGAGGCCCACGGGGGTCATGGCCCCAGTGACCTGTTGAAGGACGAGTTGACTCAATCTCTGGAAGAGTTGGAGGCTCTGTTGAAGGCCAAAGATGAGGTCTGCACACTTTCACCTACATTTAAAAATATAAAGAAATGGAACAGTGTGGCTCATTAAAAATAATAATAATAAATAAATAAATAAAAACTATACGTTTGTTGTTTCTTGGCAGGAAATTCACAATTTGCAAAGCAAGAAGTCAGACTATCATGAGGTGGAACGTGACAGAGATCAGGCTATACACAGATTACGGGTAAGATTCACAAATCACTTATTATTTTGCAGTGGATAGGGCATAAAAAAGTCCCAAGTAATTAAAAAAACCTTCAAATATGTTTATAATTGCCTCCATTAGTTTAAATTGTAAAGCACAAACCAGGGGTCTCCAAACTCAGTCCTCAAGGGCCGATGCCGTGCCCGTTTTCTATCTCTCCCTGCTGAAATGCACCTGATTCAAAAGATCAATTCATCAGCAAGCTCTGAAGAAGCAAGATAATGATCCTGATGATGAATCAGGTGTGTTGCAGCAGGGAGAAATTGAAAACAGGCAGCACATCGGCCCTTGAGGACCGAGTTTGGACCCCGCTGGCACAGACTACGAACCCAAAACACTTTGGAATTTCAAATTCATCTTACATGACTCAATATAAAGGGTTCGAGGATTTGATTTAAAAAAAAACAAACACACAAAAAACAAACAAACACCAATTGTGCATGTACATGTGGCAAAGTCTCCCCAACGTTCACTCACAACCCAGACTTACCGTAAGTTTAGCTCCTCCCCAACATACAAAGCTTATTTCTCAAGCGAAATGTATCATCTTTTCTCGAAAAATAAATAAATAAATACAAAAATAAATAATGAATGTGCATCAAACAGTACTTGCCAGTAATGGAAACATGCTCGCAGCTTTTCCTCCACTACGTTAACCTTCATTCACCCTAAATGATGACAAGCACCATAGATGAGGACTGCATGCAGCTTGTGCATTGGTTTCATTGGGTGGGAGTGTGGGTGGACCTAATGTAGCGGCCGATGAGTTTATTTATTCAGCATTACAACAAGCAGTAGTTGTAACGTGGTTGCCTCTCCTCAACAGGAAGTGGAGATGCGCAATTCCGAGCTGGAACGCCGTATCCAGAACACGGAGCAGAACTTAAGCAACTCTCTGGAGGATCGAGATCGCATGGACACTGAGCTCCAGAGGGCCATCGAAATTCTAGACATCAAGATCTTTGATCTCAATGACCTCCGGCAGAGCTTAGTTAAACTTGTGGACAAGTAAAAAGTCAAAATGCAGAAGTTTAAAATAATAACAATAATAATAATAATAATAGTAATAATAAAAACAAATCCAAGATGGAGCACATTTGCACCTCAAGCGCAAGAACCATCTTGTCTGCAGCACTCACTGTTCACATGTCGGCCTAAACTGCATTTTACGTTGTTTTACTTGTCAGATAATGTAGCACTTCATGTTGCTTACCAGGGAAACAATGCAATAACCTCAAGGTAACTGCTTCTGAGTGCAGAGTGCAAGATGTTCTGGTGCTTATAGTTTTTGTGATATGACCATTGGATTATAAATGGCATATTGTGACTAATAAGAGGCCTTGTTTTACTGTACATTAACTGTCTTGTCAGCGATTCTACAGACAAAACAAGCACACATTCATACTACATTACAGCCATTACACATATTGCAGATAAACCCATTTGTAACATGTGTATGTAGCTGTCCATGTATTAAGTAGCAGCAGGTAGACGATAGAGATCATTATAAATTTAAGCAGCATGGTCTTCTGCGCTATTACTCACATTTGGATAAATGAAGTACATATTAATAGAAGGTATCCAACATAGGTGTAATTTATCTTATCTGTCATGCTATAGTGCACCCATCATTTATATTTTGGACTGTTCGAATAATAATAAACTTACAGTAAGTACTTCTGACAGTGCAACATCTTAATGGAACTCTGCTGTGATGCGTTCAAGGACATTCGGGACACTTCAGGTCTTTATGTTACCTCCATCTGTGGACAAAGTGACATAACCCTGGTCAACAGTGACAAATGAATTTTTCACAAACCACACAGTCTGCATATTTGATAGTTTTGAATCCATCCATCCATTCATTTTCTACTGCTCGGGTTGCAGGGGCAACAGCTTCAGCAGGGAAACCCAGACTTCCCTCTCCCCAGTTACTTCCTCCAGCTCTTCCCAGGGGATCCCAAGGCGTTCCTAGGCCAGCTGGGAGACATAGTCTCTCCAGCATGTCCTGGCATGCCCGAAACACCTCACCAGGGAGGCATCCAGGAGGCATCATAATCAGATGCCTGAGCCACCTCATCTGGCTCCTCTCGACGTGGAGGAGAAGCGGCTCGAATCTGAGCCCTCCCCAAATAACCGAGCTTCTCACCTCATCTCTAAGGAAGGGCCCAGACACCCTGCGAAGCACTCATTTTGGCCGCTTGTATGCTTTGATCTCGTTCTTCCGGTCATGACCGTAAACGTAAATCGACTGGTAAATTGAGAGCATCACCTTTTAGATCAGCGTCTTCACCACAACAGACCAATACACATTCTGCATCACGCTGCAGCGATTTGCCTGATGATCTCCTGCTTCCTCCTGCCTTCACTCGTGAACAAGACACCAACATATTTAAACCCCTCCGCTTGCAGCAAGAGCTCATCCCCAGCCTGGAGAAGGCACTCCTTTTACCATCTGAGGACGATTGTTTCAAATGTGGAGGTGCTGATTTCCATCCCAAATGCTTCACACTCAGCTGCGAACTGCTCCAGTGAGAGTTGGAGATCCCGGCTTGAAGAAGCCAACAGCACCACATCAGCAAAAAGCAGAGATGCAATACTGAGGCCACCAAACCGGATCCCCTCACCGCCTCGGCTAAGCCCAGAAATTCTGTCTATGAAGCTTATGAACAGAATCAGTGACAAAGGGCAGCCTTGGCGGAGTCCAACCCTCACTGGAACTTATTCCGACTTACTGCCGGCAATGCAAACCAGACTCTGACATCGGTGGAAGAGGGACCGGCCCGTATCAGGCGGTTCGGTACCCCATACTCCCGAAGCACCCCCCACAGAACTCCCCGAGGGACACGGTTGAATGCCTTCTCCAAGTCCACAAAGCACATGCAGACTGGTTGGGCAAGCTTTCATGTACTCTCAAGGACCCTAATAAGGGTGTAGAGCTGGTCCCCTGTTCCACAACTGGGACGAAAACCACACTGCTCCTCCTTCCCTTGACTTCCCGACCGACCCTCCTCATCAGCACCCCTGAATCGATCTTACCAGGGAGGCTGAGTATTGTAATCCCTCTGCGCTCGGCTTTTTAAAAAGGGGAACCGCCACCCCGGTCTGCCAATCCAGAGGCACTCTCCCCAATGACCCTGTGTTGTTGCAGAGGCGTGTTAACCAGGACAGCCCCACAACATCCAGAGCCTTGAGGAACTCCGAGCGGATCTCATCCACCCTCGGGGCTTTACACCGAGGACCTTTTTAACCACATCTGTGACTTCAACCTCAGAGATTGAAAAGCCAACCTCAGAGCCCTCGGACTCTGCCTCCTCTGAGGAACACGTGTTGGTGGAGTTGAGGTGGTCTTTGAAGTATTCTGGCCACCGACTCACAATCTCCCGAGTTGAGGTCAGCAGCGCCCCATTTCCACTGTAGACAGCGTTAATGGGGCACTGCTTACCCATCCTAAGACGTCAGTTGGCGACCAAAATTTCCTCGAAGCCGTCTGGAAGTCGGCTTCCATGGCCTTACCGAACTCTTCCCACTCCCAGGTTTTTGGCTCAGCGACCGCTGAAGCTACGTTCTACTTTGCCAGCCAGTACCCATCAGCTGCTTCTGGAGCTGCCTTCTTCAGCTTGATGGCATCCCTTACTGCCGATGTCCACCAGCGGGTTTGGGTTTGCCCGCCAGGGTAGGCACCGACCACCTTATGGCCACAACGCCACAGATCATGGTCCACTCGGACTCAATGTCTCCCGCTTCCCCCAGGACAGGAAAAGCTCTGCTGCAGGTCGGAGTTGAAACTCCTTCTGACAGGGGAGTTCGCCACATGCTCCCAACAAACCCTCACAATACTTTTGGGTCTGTCAGGTAGGACCGGCATCTTCCCCCACCATCGGAGCCAACTCACCACCAGGTCACCATCAGTTGACAGCTCCGCCCCCTCTTCACCCGAATGATGATTACGTAACGTAAAAAGAAAAATAGCCAAAACCATAGGGATCCTCTACAAAACCAAGGAAGTGCTAAATAAGAGATCTTTGTACACATTATACTTTTCATTATTATTACCATATATGACCTACTGTGTGGAAATATGGGGAAATGCCTGCAAAACAAACACACTCCCTATTCTAAAACTACAAAAAAAAGCAATTCGAATTATTAATAGATCAAAATATACGGAACCCACAAATCCACTATTTATCAAATTAAATGCGATGAAATTTTATGAACTTGTTGACTTTAAAATCGCCCAATTAATGTACAAAGCACACAAAATCCTGCTCTGCCAAAACATTCTGAAGTTTTTCGAAATTCGAGAAAGCAGCTATGATTTAAGAGGTACCAACTTATTCAAAAAACTCAAAACAAGAACAAACATCAAGCAAAGAAGTATATCTGTCAAAGGTGTTAATCTGTGGAATAATTTCGAAACGGACCTGAAATTGAGTAAATCGCTTGCTGAGTTCAAAAACAAATTCAAAAAAATAGTACAAACAACCTACATCAATCAGAGTTAAAATGATAAATTCTAAACATTAAATATAATGATAAATCAGAACTAAGTTGATAAATAGAGAAAGGTATGGAAATATCCATAAGAATACAAGAGAAAATTGACACAAGAGTGCCAGGGTGTCTATGTATAAAATCCCGACACAAACCAAAAGTTGTAAAAATATCATGGTTAAGGGTAAAGCATGAGCCTTTATGGAGACTTCTTTCTTCTTACTTTCTTTTCTGATTGATATAAAAATGATTTATTAGATATAAACACATAACACGGGGTAGGACTAGATATGTTCCTTACTTCTTCCTACTCCCTTGAACATAATTACTGTGTTGAATGATGACTGATTTCTCTTTCCTTTTTACTATTTTACTTACCTTACTTTCTGTCAAATTATTACTGGATATGTTTTATGTTCAATAAACAAACGAAACGAAACGAATGTCCAAAACATGCAGCCGCAAATCCAATCATACAACCACAAAGTCAATCATCAAACTGCGGCCAAGTCCTGGTGTCAACTCCACATATGGGCACCCTTATGTTTGAACATGTTGTTTGTTATGGACAATCTGTGACGAGCACAGATTTCTGATTGGAGGTGTGGGGGGCTTTTCTGCCTCTTTGGGCTGAGCCTGGCCGGGCCCCAAGGCCAACGAGCCCCACTTCGGGGTGTGGCACCAAAGGGGGGCCCCGGTGACCCGCATACGGGAAAAGGGATCCAAGGTCCATATATTTTATTCATCATAAAGGGTCTTTTAAGCCGTGCTTTGTCTGGTCCCTCACCTAGACCTGCTTGCCATGGGTGACCTTGCCTAGGGCATAAAGCCCCAGACAACTTAGCTCCGAGGATCATTGGGACACACAAACCCCTCCATCACGGTAAAGCGACGGCTCACGGATGATGTTTTTAATCATGTTGTTTATTATTTGAACTCTTAAAGAGGGTTGTTGTGGAAAGTCATGTTAGCTATTTCACACATGCTGAGGTGTTGCGATGGACAACATAAACAAAATAATACTGACAAACCTCTTCCATAGAGGTACTGTACTATACACATTTCGCTGATTTTTTTTTTTTTTTTTTAACAGAGAAGGCTGACACTTAATGACTCCTACTTTATACCGGGAAGCAATTAGATCAGAGGAACAAAAAGCATTTGAATTTTCCATACACATTTGTGAGCAGCCATTCTAGATACAGCTTATCCATTACTGGAGGAAATCACACTACAATACAAACAATGTTAAGTGAAACAAATAGCAGTTAAGATGGTTGGTAAAATGTCCGTTTGAAAGGTTCCACAAAAGGACATGCAAAAATTAAGTGGTGCTAACATATTCGCTGAACAGGGGTGTGGCAACAATTCAAAGAGGAATGTGGTCAAAAGAAACACTGGAGAATCTGAGGGCGGACAATTCAATTTAACTGTCAAAATGCTATCTTGGAAGGAGTAGCTGAATGGAAAACTCCAGTGAATTTCGCTCATGCCCTCAGAAAACTCACCAAATGTTATTGAACACGTAACTGTAGATTCCCTTTTTGGGTTCATGCTTTTAAGACAACAAGTTTAGTCTTTTTAAAGGGGTCTGATGAATCTTATTTCTCATTTTTGAAGCACTGAAGATACATTTAAAACAACTAGATAAAGTAATAGGTGCTTTATGTTATTTTTTTATATTTTAAGTACTAATTGTTGTGCCGCTTGCTCTTTTCAGACAACCTTAGCAGAAAGCCAACCACACTACAGTGAACCCCCGCTTTTCCGCAATTTGGGGATGTTTTGGGGAACCGATTATTTGGTGAACGATCCCCCATTTTCTTTTTTTGTGCCATGTTTAACATAATTATTGCATTTGCACCATCCGGTGGTATCTTCGTGCCAACCAAACTGCCATGTACTGTATCGATGTGCGGGCAGGGGTTTTCTTCGATCAGGCTATATTCTTACCACCATCTAAAAAAGTACACACACGCATATATTATTTATCCTCTGTGATCAACAACTAATATTACTGCAGACTATTGCGTTTTGACTAGCTCCCAGTACAGTGTATCCAGAAGTCTACATTATAAAACTAAACAAAAACTGTTACACTTTTCGAAATTACATTTAATTGGGTTGTGTGCTTTTTATAGAGTAGAATACTACAGAGTGCTGTTTTCCTTATTTAAAACAAATCACAAACAAGTTTGTTGGGTTTTTGGGGAGGCTGGCATTTCCATTCTTTACAATGGGGAAAGCTGATTTGAGACACAACTGT